GTGTTACGTTGAAATTTGAAGTGATGTAATGTTCCTACAACGTAACTGCAAGCTTCTGTGCTGTATGAAAAAGCTTTTACATGCAAAAATGCAAGCAACACGAACATTCCATTGATATACAAATGTAACCCTAAAAAATTTTGTATCGACATGCCCTGAGTAGTGAATCAAATATGACAAAATGCTATTACAACATTACATAATAAACTCGATATAAAGCTATTTCTTAACTTACCTTGATTTGATCCTAATCCATTTCTTATTATTGCTTTGCAAAACTTTTTATATATGACAATATCTATTTTAATTACTTTTTAGTTCAAATGACACTAAAAGATACGCTTACTACTCAGCCAAAAATTGGATTTGGCGTAACGAAAATAGCGTAAAGAGCACAAAATAACTAGGCGAAAACTGGTACTTAAATGAAATGATGTGATTGGTTGATGCAAGTTACGCCGCATAGGAAGGCACCCTCACTGAGCGTTTTTTCCGCTGAACTCGCACGGTGCCTTCAGCAATCTATCTCTTTCTTTTCGTACCCGGCTTCTAAGCATTGCAGTAACGCAGGATTCACACTGCGTCCGATGTCCGACGTACGACGTCCGATATCCAATAGGAGAACAGCTTTCTAATATAGAATTCAATTCTCCATTAGAAAGCTATTCTTTTACTGGTTATCGGACGTCGTACGTCGGACATCGGACGCAATGTGAATCCTGCATAAGCCTTCCAGTATGTATATAGTTCACTGTTCAGCAAAGAAAGCTGTTTTGCAACTGTTGTAAAATTCGTGAATCTGATTGGGATATGCTCTTAATTTTGGTTGAATCCAAGAGCATTACCCATTAGATTTATGAATTTTACAACAGTTGCAAAGCAACATTCTCTATTAAACGCAGCCATAAACTAAGTTTACACGGCAGCTTAAAACCGGTTTAGTAACAACGTATTTAGTAAACTTTCGCATCCGATTGGTATATTCTTTTAGATTTAGAAATATACTCCAATCGGATTCAAGAGTTTACTAACTACGGTAGTTACTAAATTGGTTTTAAGTTGCCGTGTAAACTTAGTCATTGATTATTGTTATAATAATCGACTATGATTAGTTAATTCTTATAGCTTACTTCTTATTCCAAGCTTACTCCGCATATTGTAGACGACGCTTAAGCGACGTCTACATTGGAAGTAAGTAGTAATGGCTCCTGCACATAAGACGCGGTAATGCTTGCCGCACGGCAGAAGTCCGCGCGACAGCCAATCAATATGTTGTTTTTCCGTAAGAGCTAGCAGGTTATTACGGAAAGCAGCATATTGATTGGCTGTTGCTCGAACTTCCGCCGCGCGGTAAGCATTACCGCATCCTGTGTGCTAGAGCCATAATAGTAAGAAATTGACCAACCACAGTCGAATGTGAGAAGAATAATCAACTATGATTAGTCAATTTCTTATTCTTACTTCCTACTTCTTACTGTTTACTTCCAATGTAAACGTCCCTTTATGCATCGTCTACAATGGCAGTAGGAGTATTAGTAAGAAATAAGCAGTAAGTAAATGGACCAATCACAATCGATAATTGTTGAATAAGAAGAATTGGTCAATTTGTTTAAGTCAGCGGCACACGATGCTTGTTTTCATGCTGGATTACTTGCTGGATGGAAATATTCTGTTCTGATTGGTGCATTTCTGAAGGCGGACCAATCAGAATAGAGTATTTCCATTCAGCAAGCAATCCAGCACGAAAACAAGCATCGTGTGTCGCTGGCTTTACTGCTTATTTCTTACTACTATTTATTTCTTACTACTGTTACGTCCCGGCGGGTTGCGGCCACGCTGCCGCGAAGGATCGCGTTCGAACCCTAGCACGGGACTAGATCGCAATTTTCGGGCTAAACGAATCACGTGATTCTACCCGGGGATCCGTGCGATCGAGGGTAGTCGCGATGGATTTCGTGCAAGACGCGTGGTATAACCTTACGGTAGGCCGGTCGCAGGCGTTAGTCGTGGTTTCGCACGTATAGTGTAGATACTGACTTACCGATAGTATGCATAGAGCGGTTGCTCTCTGTGTCTCTGGATGGCGCTCCCGTGGCTCGTGTGGCTCAGCACCTCCTAGACTTCTAGGTGTTGCCGACGCTGGGAAACCTCGTCCTGGATCGTGCGGCGGCAAATTCGGATATTCGAGTCACTTGTAAATAACCGATGGGCACTAGGGAGGAGTACGGTATGTCGCGATTCCGTTTGGACATAGGGGAAAATGTGCCGTGTAAGGATGTTCGAATGAGGGAGAGTAAAAATAGAGTTACTACAGGTGGTATATGTATATATATGTGTATTACGTGATTCGTGATGTATAATATGCTTACGAATATCCTAAGTATAATTAGAGTTACAAAATAGACAAAACAGCTAAAGTAATTGGTTAATAACTTAAGAATTTTACGTTAGAATAACGACTTGTAAATGTTTAGGAGTGTTAGAGATAACTTAGAATTAGTTACTTAATAATTAGAAAAACTAAGGGTTAGAATGGGGTTGGAGGTGAGGAGTACTTTTGGGCTCCCGATTTCGGCACTCGACTACGACCGACTGACTGCCCGCTGCTTTCCTTTTCTCAGCTCTTGTTATCCCGCCTTTAGGAGGGGGGGGGGGTCCGAATGGTAGTGACGCTATCTGGGATGCCTTCCTTCTGGGAAGGAAGGTTTCGTACCTGACGTGTCTCAGGCAAAGGGTTGTTTGGACAAAGAAAAATATTACTGGCCGTCAGCCTGGTCGGTAGGACGTGACACTACTATTTATTTCACCTACTTTCATTGGGTGCTTTCCAATTGCAATATCCCTAGACATTTTCATGCACATGGCGACACAAGTTGCATTCCAATGTCGTAATCGTCGACACAACACTACACATCCGTACTCGAGAGCTACTAGTCGGCTGTGTAAACTAGTGTTTTCTAATGACAATTAAAGTTAATAAGCGTAGCGGCTTGAAAAGAGATTGGCATTTACGACATGAAGTGGATAATATCTTTTTTATTATTTAGATTTTATTATTTATTAGTAAAAAATACCAAAATATAAGCATAGTTGAAAATAATCCTAACCTTATCCGACATAAATATATAATAGTACACACTTTGTTCCAATTCCTTCCTTCCTTCCTTCAATATTTGGCTAGAGGCGTATCAGTGACTCATGCCCCAACGCCATTGCTACTTTGTTCCAATTAAATCGTGCACAACGTTACACTTTGTGCATTTCTATGTACATATGTGTCAAGATGATTAAGCAATTGGAAAGCACCCATTGTAGACGACGCATAAGGCCCGATCTACAATAGATGGAGTAAGGAGTAGGAGTAGAAGTAATGGCTTCTGCACACAGGACGCGGTAATGCCTGCCGCGCGGCAGAAGTCCGCGCGACAGCCAATCAATATGTTGTTTTTCCATAAGAGCTAGAAGGTTATTACGGAAAGTAGCATATTGATTGGCTGTCGAGCGGACTTCCGCCGCGCGGCAAGCATTACCGCGTCCTGTGTGCAAAAGCCATTACCGCATCTAGTGTGCAGGAGCCATAAGAAATAAGCAGTAAGCAAATTGACCAATTCCATTCTCACGTTTCAAAAATAATCGATTGTGATTGGTCTGTTTACTTATTGCTTATTTCTTATTCCTACTCCTACTCCTTACTCCATCTATTGTAGATCGGGTCTAAAGCGTCTTCTACAATGGCAGTAGGAGTAGTAGTAAGAAATAAGCAGTAAGCAAATTGACCAATTCCATTCTCACGTTTCAAAAATAATCGATTGTGATTGGTCTGTTTACTTATTGCTTATTTCTTATTCCTACTCCTACTCCTTACTCCATCTATTGTAGATCGGGTCTAAAGCGTCTTCTACAATGGCAGTAGGAGTAGTAGTAAGAAATAAGCAGTAAGCAAATTGACCAATTCCATTCTCACGTTTCAAAAATAATCGATTGTGATTGGTCTGTTTACTTATTGCTTATTTCTTATTCCTACTCCTACTCCTTACTCCATCTATTGTAGATCGGGTCTAAAGCGTCTTCTACAATGGCAGTAGGAGTAGTAGTAAGAAATAAGCAGTAAGCAAATTGACCAATTCCATTCTCACGTTTCAAAAATAATCGATTGTGATTGGTCTATTTACTTACTGCTTATTTCTTACTACTACTCCTACTGCCATTGTAGAAGACGCTTAAAGGCCAAATCACACTAGCAATTGACGATTGACGATTAACGATTGAAGATTAGATTTTGACGAATCAACAAGCTTCAACCTTGGCTTGCTTTGTTCCAATTAGTCCAAGTTCCAATCTTCAATCGTCAATCATCAATCGCCAATCGCTAGTGTGATTTGGCCTTAAGATTTGTTTATACTTCAATTGAGCGCATAGTACGACTCAACAATATGGTCAGAAGTACTTTTATTTTCCAGTGATAAACTATCTTTTATTTTTCAAGATCTTTTATTTTTCAAGTAGCACGACTCAACGGCGAGTCGGACGTACATTTTCTGTTTATGTAAAATATTCGAAACCTCTTTATCCTCAAATTTAACAATTCAACGACAAATTAAAAGAGCTCATTACCGAGTAGTACGACTCAATAACTAGGCAAATATTCTTATATTATCAAGTGATACGATTCAATGACCAGACAGAAGACCTTTTATTTTCCAGAAATAATAAATTATATATAGTATATATTAAAAGTATAACACGAAAGACTAATTTGATTATTACCACATTAATTTCATTGATTATTACTACATTGTCGATCAGCGAGCAGTTTATTTGTATCATTAAATATTATCATTAATAATTTATCAGTTATCGAACAATTACGAAAATATGAAGAATAGCTACATTATCCTCGAGCTACAATCACTCTCATTCAAGCTCAATATCTCTTTTTACAATCAATCGTTCCTTGGAGCATCAATTCTTTTTTTCAATATCGCCCATCCCTAACCGCGAACGATGACAGCGGCACGTGTGGCATGGCGGATACTGTTGTTAGTAACGCCGAGTGAGCGTCGTACGTTTACTGAGAGTCGAAAATTTGAGTGAGCTGACTAAAAACCGGCGCGATGAAGGAAGAAACCGTGCTAAGTCTGAAATGGCAGAGTTTTCCGTCTCACTTGGCGGTCTCGCTCGATACCTGCTATGAAAAACAACAATTTGTGGACTTATCTTTGGTGTGCAAGGATGGCACAATACTAAAGTGTCACAAAATGGTACTGGCCAACTCTAGCACGTTCTTCCGTCGACTACTCATGGCAAATGATCATCCGCATCCGATGATCATTCTCCACGACATCGAGGCGGACGACCTTAAGACCATTGTCAACTTCATGTATTGCGGTGAGATACAAGTAGTGCAAAGTGAGGTTAGGCGGCTGCTCAAACTCGCCGAGATCCTCGAAGTTACCGGGCTACGGCATATCCAGACCTCGGTAATGGCCGGTGAAATGAACCACACAACCACTAGCGAAGGCTCGAGGAAGCCTGCCGCGGTGTCACGTCTGAAGTTAGAGGAGGCGAGGAATCTGCCCGGCAGGGTCAGCACCGAATCGCATGCCGAAATAAACACCCGAACGCAGATCAAATCCGCCGCTCAGGCGAGATTCACCGCTCACCCGTCGTCCCATTCGCACAAGAACATACCCAAAGCTATTCCCCAAGACAACATGGCCATTAGGAAGAACGAGGAGATCAGCATAAACGCGCTGAATCAACGGCTCGAGACCGGTAACTCCGGCATCAGTATTGTAGATATTAACGACTTACCAAGCACCAGCAAGGGACTGCCTCAGTCTTGCCAGAAGAGAAAGGATCCTGTAGATCCTGCCATCAGTTGGCCATCCATACTGTCTGCAATCTCCAAGGACAAGCCGTTACCTCTGAAGAAACTGTGCATCATGGATGAGGTGGAGATCACAGCAGGGAAATCTTGTGCACCGTTGCTTGCGTCCTGTGCACAGGACAGCAAGCAGAACGAGCCATTAGATAGGAGGAAAGTCAGAAACAGCTCTGCCTTTGATCACGGCATGAAGTATGCAGTCTATATCAAGGATGAGGTCGATATATTGCCAGATGTAGAGGAGGATGTTGACATGGACCCCTTGGAGATAGACGAGATCGACAACGACAATTCGGAGACTAGCAAAGCACCTACGCAGATGTTCCACTATGCTCGACGCACTGCGAGGTAGAACACTCGTCCTCGCGCGAACTGTCTCTCTTCTGTACAAGATCCAGGTGTTAGAGATCAACAGTGACTATCGAGAAAGCATAAAACATTTTTCTGTCCATAAACAGTTTCTCTGAATTTGATGTATTTCAATATTTATACATACACACACATATACAGAGAATGAAAGCTCACAGATCATTCTTCCTCTGAACAAAAGGTTTTTATGAGAGTTAGGACTTTATTATAAAATACACTGTTTTTTGTTATGCATTTATATTGCCTTTATAATAAAGCAATCTCAGATGTTTCCTCTTCTTCAGGTTGTTAGCAAGTAATAAATTTACTTTATTCTTTAATATCTATATAGATTATTAAGTTTATCTAAGATCTATATATATTTACTTAAGATCTCGCATCATTAGTACACACATATGTGTATACATAATGTGAATATATAACATAGTAACCCTTAGCAACCCAACTGTTGTGTTCCTATGGAAGCAAATTGTTTGATATTCTTCTCTGTACAGAGTGTATACAAAAAAGTTTTTACCATTGTTTCTATGGTTATTTTCCATACAAAATGAATATGAAAATGAATAAAATAAGCTGTGATAAAGTAGAATGTGTGAATGGCATTATTGACAACTTAAATCCTGATAAGAATGTAACAGAAGAGGAATTTCAGAATTTCATGCATCGTGTCACCGAAGTAGGTAAGTGTCATTGATAATTCTCTTCTACTGTATAAACATCAATTATTAAAAACTATGTCAATTGTCTGTATAAACTTTATGTCACTAAACTTTATGTCTGTTCTTAGCTGAACTGCCTGAACTGGTGCAATAAGTTAGAGTAAAACAAAATATATTTTGGTCTGTTCTTTTCAGCTAGTCTGAACTGTTGCAGTAAGTTAAAGAAAAAATATACTTGTCTCACCCAAATTTATTGCACCAGTTTAGACAGTTCAGCTGAAAAGAACAGACCTTTTGTGTTCAAGTAGTAAACTGGTGGCGACCAGAAGGCAAGCTTTTTTTAGGACTCTTTAGTCGGACAAAAATTAATGCATTCAAAGAGTTTGAGATTGACAATAACTTACTTGTTCCTCTCCACGTTTGATTTCCCAAAAGAGCCATATTTAAAACATTTGCAGTTTTATCAATTAATTGTCTCATTCTTCCATCAAGAGAGCATTGTGAAGAAATTAGCATCTCACAACCCGGAGGAGCAAGAATGTGGAAGGATATTAGCTGACAGGATCTTACAGAATAACACTCAAAGAGAAATCTACGAAGATGTAGAGATCAAGGTTAAAGCCAATCGATCGGTGATCAATAAGTACTCCATGGAGGAAGATAACTCTAATGATCCAAGCAAGATATCACAAGGTGAATTGTTTGATTGCTCGTTAGAATACTGTCATCAAACTGTATGTAGCATAATAGTATATTACATAATATTAATAGCATGCAGCGCATATAAGCAATTATAAATATTCTAATTTCTGCAAGCAGAAATCTTCATGAAGAATGTGGAGGACGACGCTAAAAAGCGGGCTGAAGATCGCAAAGCCAGGAACGAGCGAGCAGAGACCTTGAAGAGAATCGCGAACGGTGCATTCAAGATGGGCGATTACGAGAAAGCTATAACTTATTACAGCAAAGCGTTGGAACAGCGCAAGGACTCTTCTGTGTTATGGAATAACCGAGCCTTATCGTACATGTACCTCGGCTTGTTCGAGAAGGCGCTGCACGATTGCGAATGGGCTTTAAAAGTGAACGACTCGAATCTAAAGGCTCTCCTGAACAGTGCCAAGTGTCATATGCATCTTGGGAACAAGGAGAAAAGTCGAGAATATATACGTACTGCCAAGGAGAGGAATCCTCACTTCAATAAGTTCATCGAAGGTATCGTTGAATATTTCGCATACAAAACAGTTCTTAACGCACAGTTTGCGACACAAGTCCATGTATTTACAATCTACTTCATATTTTACAGAATTCGAGGAAAATCTAGCAAGATCTCTTTTAACAAGTTCAACATTCGTGTAAATAATGATAACGAAGCACGGCAGATTCTCTTTCTGGGAGAAGTAAAATCTATTATTACGTTAACGTATAAAATGATACAATTAACGATAAAAATACGCTCAATATTTTGTACGGCAGTATACTTTGTTCGCAATTGGCTAGACGTGGATCTCGAGCAATATCAAGATGGTTGTATACTCGTCGCGTTACCTTCTTTAACTTCAGACAGTGATCTTGGCTCATGTAAAAAGACTGTACACTCAATACCCTGAAAGAAGCATAATGATACATTAATTGTCGCGAGAAAGTCGCGAAATCGAAAAGCTATATCGCGCGATATCGGAATTCGTACCTGCATACGTGCGGCTCTGACAAATCCTTCGTTGGCGGAAACAGTAATGCTCTTCATATTTTCGCCGGTCGCAAATACCAACCGCGATCGATCCTTGATTTTACCGCCCAAACGTAACCCCATAACCCGTCCAGTCGGTATGTCGTCGACGATTCGAAGTTTCTTCAACAACTCGTGCGCGCGTTGCGTCTCCTGCGGGCCGCCGATAAATTCGATGATGCTCATGAAGTTATCGTATGCTGTCCGACACACAATGAGATCCTTGTCGCAAAACAAATTTTCTAGGATCGGTTTTATGGGATGTTTCCTCTCCATCTCAGCCTGCTGCGAAAGCAGCGGTTCCCGGTAAGCGTAACTGCTATGCTCGTTGGCTATATTACTAACGTAAGCCAATAGTGTTGACACATCCAGATTCAGGAGCTTGATCTCGGTGGAAAGCGCAGACGTGTTCAACGACTGTAGATCCACGTTCGAGTCTTTCTCAGAGTCATCGGTAGATTCCCAGGGGAAATCCAGCTTGTGTTCTACCTCCAGAAGCAAACAAAATATATGATAAGCATGATAAGCATCATGAAACTGTCTTTAGCTGCTTTCCACTTTCACACAAGTACCAAGTCTAATACCAAGTACCGAGTATTTTATACTCATATAATGACGTCATTGTTCAGTAGATTAAAATAACGCGCAAGTGAGAATATTCTCAATAATCTCAAATTGTTGCATTGTAAATTGTTATAATTAGTGATCCATCCATCTGCTATTTGCAATAAAAGATATGACAATTAAAATAAATTATTTACAAAATTATTTAGTCTCAATAATTATTTTATGTCATTTTATCCATATTTGCTCGTTTTGGTGACAAAGTACACATAACAACACAAGTTTATAACCTCACTTTTAATGTGAATTAACAAAACTCACTAAAGCACACAAAGTTGTGCAGATTGTAGGTAAAAACTCAGTTAAATCTCATTTGTGAAAACAAAAACGTGCATTCAACTGAGTTATGATATCACAAGTGAAATTTATCTGAATTTTCATGTAAATGGAAAGCAGCTTTTAGTATCTCGATATACAATGTTCAATATCTTATAAACATGATATTTCTAAGTAAATATATACACGACTATAATGCAACAACATTATTTATGATAGCCATAGACCTTATATAATTGAGAGTCTCCTAAATATTTACCAGATGTTTCTCATACTGATTCAAGTTCTCAAAATCAGTGTCTATCCTGTCTCCTTCGACAATAACACCCATTTGCTCCAAGCGTGATGCTAAAGGAATCTCTATGCCACAGGCAAAGTAAAATATGACATCTGGTGGCCTATAGCGATGCAGGTGGCATTTGCTACACATCAGATAAGAATTAGCTTGATCCAGAATGGATTTCTGTCCATATTCTCCATTGCCAAGCGATATCAGAGTCAAAGCTTTGGCATTTCTGGCTATAACCTTCACCCATGATGAACCATTGTTACACACTATATCTACTTCCAAACGTGATTCCTGATATTTGAAAGGCTTCATCACACTGGTAGGATTCTTTGCACAAGACAGCCGAGTTATCACAGCGTTGAGATGAATGAGATTTGTGCTCTGTAGATGTTCCTTCTTCACAGTCTCTGTGCTTTGTACCTGTGAAAACAAAATTATCAATTTAAAAATGAGAAGCCAATTCTATCATTATTGGAATAAAAGAGGCATGAGAGGTTAGGAAATAAAGTGCAAAACATGTAGCTGACAAAAAAACAGAATTGATGTTGCCAACAAAAGTAGGCAAGAATGGACAATTTGATTGTTCCAATAAGCGTCTCAAGTAGCAGAAATTTCTAAAAGTCGTCTTAAAGACTTCTTAAAATGATTTAAAAAAAGAAGTTTGCTTTCTTAAGGCATTTTTAAGATATCTTTCAGAGAAGTTTGGAGGTTAACCGATTCTGATATAAAAACTAGCATCTCACTAATCGCCCCACTAACCTTTTCCAGGAACTTAATCTCCTGCTGGATCTTCCGTATCAGCTTGTCGACGCCGTCGATCTTGTCCATGAGTCGAAGCTGTCCAACCATGCCGTGACCGTCGGCGATTTTTTCGCGCAGGCATTCTAGCAATTCGCTCATACTGTCTATCGTGATGAATGATCACGAGTCACGGACGGATGTGCCGGGCCAATATGTGAGCGAAAACGCGCCTTCCCTACCGCCGCCCGCGATAATTTCGAGCGGTACAGCGGCACGCTCGGCGAGCATAATGCGCGCGGCCATGTTGCGCCACAGGCGCGATTTCGCGTAATGTCGTCGGGTGGCTTGTGTCAAATTCGCCTCAATTAACCTCACACTCACTTTTCGCTCCGTATTCCCACGTTGGTGGTGACAAGTGACAGTCGTTGTCGATGTCGACGCGCAGGTTGGCAAGCAACACCGCTGCACACCGTCTAGGAAAAACGACCGATAACGACGTTCGGGGACCGTGCGAGACGACGAGGACGGAGGAGCCGTCACGGCGTGCACGCGATCGTCGCCGTGTCGTCGTCTTCGCGGTGTACCGCTGCTTCAGTTCGACCAACGACCGAGATAGATATCGCGAGTTGCCTCGCATCGCGGCGAAATGTCCAGCGCCAAGGTCATAGAGAACCCAGAAGTGCCGGGTGAGTAGTGGACGCAGCTTCCGAGGAACATCCTCCGTTTCCCTCCTTCCCCTCCTTCGTCCCCAGATCCCCGCCGCGATCGTTTCGCCGTTCATCTCGCGATAACGCATTCGCGATAACCACCTAAGTTCGGCAGAAAAAGCCGCTCGAGAACCGTGGATTTCCCAATGCGAAATCTCGAGCACTTCGCGTTTGCTCGCTCGCGGCTTTCATGCATCATGTCGCCGAGAACGAGATTCGATCGCGGGGATCGCCGTTTGCGACGCTCACGAAGCAGCCATCGCGAGCCGCCGGATGCAACGATTAACGTGTATACTTTGATTGATTGACGAGCGAATTGCAGGCATAGCAAGTGACGCGCGCGAAAATACGATACCGATCGCGCGATACATTGTTGCGTTTACACGAGCGTGATTTGTGAACTTTATTCCTTTTCTTTCGGATAAATTCTCACGCGTGAGTGTGTTCGCACGCGTTTCAAAATCGTGCTCGACTCTGTTGACATTCTGAAGAGCGAACAACAGCAATCGATACGTCGGAGCGGGTTTTTGTAAAAATGGAAATATCCACGTGCGAAGGCATACCCACGCGGGATGCCAGGTTGATTAGCGCTCGTCAAGGCCGCGGTCGTATTTAAAATAGTATCTAATGTACACGGAGGAACTCGCTGCTTTTGTATCGGTCGCGAGATACCTCAACGAATAAGTTGGTATAAATTTTTACAATTTGCAAGACATCAATTGCATTTTCTGTTTCTTAAAGGCAGCATAAAGTTAAAAACTGTCTAAGGAAATAGGACATGTTTTAAACATCTTATAGAAGAATTAATTTTTTGACAGTAGTGTGAACTTCAATCTTAAATTCTGTTCAAACACACATATACAATTAGAATAGAATTTAATTTAAGTTTAAACTACACTGTGAGAGAAAGAATATCTTTTTAAAAGATAAAAATATTTATTCGGTGGCTATTAATAACATGTTTATACTAAATCTAAATTTTTTTGTTTAAATGGAATAAACAGTTGCGTTCATAAAAATAAATGATTTTAGAAAAATGAACATTTTCTCGTTTTCAAAAAATTTTATGATATCAGATTAAATAAATATGATATCAGAGCACTACGAATAAATATTCTTCATTTTTTAGATATTTTTTTCTTCATTGAAAATTTGACCTTAAAACATCTTTTAGAAATTTATATCTGGGATATTTCTCGTTAAAATAGATGGATAAATTTGATCACGTCGAAAATAGAACGAAACGAATATCTTATTTTAAGTTCGTGCACGTGAAGCCGCGTCACATTTTAACAGAACTCGATTTAACGAGGTATGTATATCCAACTCGCTCGTTCGATCGTGTAGATATCAGTTTGTGAATAATAACGAAGGTGACTCTCGAGGTGAGACGAGAACGGGTGTCTGAATAAGTAACGTCGACACTGCAGCGTCTACACGGCGTAGAGATATATGATAAGCTAAATACGTGCCACTATCTGGGCGCGAGAGACGAATAAATTGTCGCCGGATGTTGCAGCTTTATGAAACGATATCTCGCCGATCGCGCCGGGCTTTGTACATCAAGCTCCATAAATGCAGTCCCACTTTCTAGCATAATAACATCTGGTTAGGTACGTTCGGTCAGGCGCATCATCGCGTGAAATACCCGTGTATCGTAACTGTTTAGGTGTCCGAAGAGCCACCGGTTTCTCGAATAATCGACAATTATGTTAGGGAATGGAACTGCACTTAAAGTGAAGTGTGCTAGTCGACTTGACGTGAATCATTGGCGCGTGTACGTCGCGCGCCATTATCGAACATGCAATCCGACGCGGATGACAACAGGTGACATAGGTATCTCGTCGTTTGCGTCGCAAACGCGTGAACGTTCTTGCCGTTGTAATTCGGCTACTCTGCAATCATTACCACGGACCTGTGAATTTTGGTGCGTCGGCAAACCACGCCGCACGTTATTGTGATTTGGACCACATTAGTAAACTTCGTGGTCCGATTCATGATAAAGGAAAGTCAAAGGAGACCATCTGTACGTCGTTCTAGTCGTTAGACCGAACAAAAACTTTCGGACAAGGTAAATACAAACAAGTAGGAATAATGTGACAATAATAGCGCGCTCTAAGCATGCATTTTACCGTGACGCAAAATAAAGAATGGCGGTTACTTCCCGCACGCTACCGTGCAACCGTGAAAAATGACGTCTCTGCCGGCTTATGCGTCCGAAGAATTTCCCTCTAATGACCGGACCGTGACGAATAGTGCCATTCAGACTAGCGAAATAACTCGGTCACCATTGTGAACCGTACACTCGAGGAAACGGCCTTGTTTTTTCCGACAATGTACGGTAATACGATTCTGCCGATATTTTGCGGAAGAATACCTATTCCGTTGTTCCGAAAAGCACAACCCGGATCACTGACCTTGGAGAAAATTTTCATTTTTTACATCTATCTTTTCATTCAACAGGACTCGAATGTTTTCTGCCGCCACCGCCGCCGCCGCCGCCGCCACCGCCACCGCCACCACCGCCGCCGCCGCCGTCGTCTTTGAACAAATCGTCGAGCAACAACAGCAGCATCGTGCCCGCAAAGACGCAGCAGCAGCAGCAGCAACAACGATCAGCGACAACGAGCGACAATATAATGGCCGCAGGAACGGCAATACCGCCACCATCTACACCGGACACGATTCCACCAAACCTGGCCACTACGTATCCAAATGTGCCCGTACCAACCCCCTACATTTCTGCGTTTCCGTCGGTGCAGCCGCAAACCCCCAGGCAACCGGCAGCTACTCCCTGGTGGATACCCACTGACAACGACACGGCGGATCTTTACTCTCCTTGGTACGATACGGCGTATAAGGGCGCCAGCGCGACGATACCTCCCCCTGTGGCCGCGCAGACTATGACAAAGAACAAGAACAAATATTACAAACGCAAGAACGAATTTATTGACCCCGCACAGGACGCAGGTAATTTAGAATTTCGAGCAGGAGGGCGTGTCCTCCGAACCGTTTGAACGTGCCGGAAAAATTTCGCGTACGGCCATATATCTTCGTCAGACCCAGTGTCCACGTACACGTGAGAGAGAAAAAAGAACACACCGTAAACTCTTGTAGTCTTTTGAGCTCTTGCCGTGTCTCGACCTCTGTTCCCCTGACGTTCGCCGGACGACTATATCCAATGATTATTTTCTGGAATGTTTTATACCTTCACCTGTGTTTTTTAACACGACACAATGCCGGACGTATTTGGGGTCGTTATATATTTTCTGCTCTGGGTCTGAGAATGGACATAATGGCAGTCGAATACATTGTATAACATATCAAAGAAAAGATTCCTAACGGGAAGAATAGCTGTTTAGGGATGAGCCGGATGCGAAACGGCATAAAGCCTTGTAAAGCTGTCGTGTAGAACAAAGTGTAAAATGTTTGTACACTGCGTAAACGCTCAACCTTTATAGAAATGTAATACTGATAAGTAATAATTTGACCAGTGATAATTACTCGTACGAGTAATAAAATTATTGAACGACAGTAATTATCACTGGCCAAATTATTACTTATCAGTATTACATTTCTATAAGGGAATGCGACTAGCTAAGCAAACATTAATCATTTTCTCTGTTTTTGTTTATTTCTCAGAAAAAGTGGCGAGCGCTCAAAGGGAGCTATCAGCGCTGATGAAACCGCTCAAGTGTGATCTGTGCAATGCAGTCGTAAGGCTCGACTAATTTAATCCGGATAATCAGCAAGTTTTGCACATGTGGCTCTCTCCTGAGATAATAAGGACAAATTACTAGATACAACTTACTTTTCCGCAAAAAAAAAAGCAAAAAGAACAACGCTGTAGAGCCCACATCGAAGATCACGAGTATCGTATCGACGCGAGTCGTGATTTTTTCAGATGAACTCGACGCTGCAGGCGAAACTGCACTATGACGGCAAGCCGCATCAGAAGAAAGTGTCGATGTTCCTGAATCAAAGCGTTAAGAAGCAGAAGACGGAAGATGGAAGCCAAGTGAGCAGCACGACCAATAACGACTGGCAAAACTACTGTGATGTAAGAAGCACAATCAGATGTTTCGCGTACGCAGTTTGCGCGTGTGTTTATGTTTTATGCAGGATCCTACTAATACACCTCGCGTACAATCCACATTGTTAGATATGCAAAACGTGGTTCACGTCACAGACGGACGCCACGCAGCACTACGCAGGCAAAAAGCACATTAGAGCGGCGAACGGCGGGCCTCGCAGGTACGAATCTGTATTCTCGTTTTTCCCGTTTAATAATAACCGCGTTTCACATAAGAACATTTGAATTCATCTGCGCGATGAGGCCGCTTCGATACTACGACGAAATTAATGTTACAGTCGCAACGATTGAAACCGTCTGTTCCTTCCACAGGCCGACGAAGAAGCCACAGAATCAGTACAATCAGATCGACTCGACTGGACGCTTCGGGATTGGAGTGGCTTTTCAGCAACCAGACGTGCAGTCCGCACCGACGGTAACACCTGTGATACCTGATGGTACAACGCCCGTACCGAATACAGTCGCGCCAGCGATGTATACGTCGCCGCCGTATCCCACGCCGTTGCGTTGCGATCTGTGCGGAGTCTCTGCCAATCGTCAAGATCAGCTGGAAACGCACAAGCGCGGAGCCCGACACTTGAGGATGCTCCGGCTTAATGGGCTTCCAGTACCCGAGCTCGGTAATAGTCGCGAAGGCTGAACACTCCCTGGCCGCGAGTTGACGCGACTTGCTCACCGATCGCCCCTTCTGTTTCAGCCGCCGAAAACGAGAACACATCCAATGTCGCTGAACCCATAGATTACTCTATTTATCGGACCCCATCCGGTAAGGGATCGTTGCCGTTGTGTAGACACTTAAAAGTGACATTAGATATCTGTCTGTCCTACACAACATCTAATTGCACGACCGGCAGGACGCTAATGCAACGATCGTTTCTTATACTTGTGTTACAGGGCAGTATTATTGCGCGCCGTGTAATCTGTCATTGAACTCGGAGACCACGTTCGCTCAGCACGTCGAGAGCAAGAAACACAAAAATCAGTCTAATCCGAAGTTACCAAATGCCGTGATAGTCGCGAAGAAAGTCAGGTTCAAGAAAAAATAAAACCGCGACTACGCCATTACGCTCTGTGCAACAAGCGCCACAGCATTCCGGTTGTTTTCTTTCATTTTTGTTGTCCGCCTCGTCCACTTCTTCTTTAGTTCATGATTTCGCGTGCGCCTTTGATTTCCGCGCTTTGATACGCTTCACCACGTGCGAATGCACGAAAGTGAGTGAGTTCAATGATCGTCGTGCGTCAACAAGTGTAATAAACCCTGTTGCGCTCGAAACACTTGGAATAATTTCGAGACTCGCATAGCCGCGTTCTTCGCGTGCATTTTTCTTTTTTTTTCGATAAGCCAATAAGTTTATCAGACCGTAAGTGAATATCATGGACTAATGCAATGACGGATCGAGCGTCGCACGACTGATGGAAAATGTAAGCATGTTAGCACGCGGCGGCATTTAAATTAAATACCGATTAACTCTAGATTAAATTCACGCCAAGTCGAGCGATCATCCAGACGATGGCTCCAGCTCGTTAAAGCGCGTCCCGACGGTATCACGACTAATCAGCGACATTTATTCAATTACGCGAGATCATTAGCTCGAGTCTGCGAGCTCGCGAGGGAGAGGATAAGGGGAAGGAAGAGAGATACAGAGAGAGAGAGAGAGAGAACGATTTGCGAAATCCCGGTGCGAGAGTCTGTGACTGTTTGCTACGTAAAATTTATGCGTCGTTCAGTTCATTCGACCTTCCGTCGTGGTTTATGATCGGGCGAATGAGCCGCGCCGAGAGAAAGAGAGAGAGAGAGAGAGAGAGCGCCCTCTGCTATTAATTACCGTCGTAATACAATATGACGGGTCAACGTTCCCAGTTTCTTGATTTAACCGTCACCTGTCACGACTGTGATTTAAGTATATCTCCCGTGCAGGCGAATAAAAATGCCGGTATAAAACGTGAATCAACGGTGAAGTACCTGGAGAGGCAGCGGCGTTTATGATATCCAAAAATGGCAGGAAGAAGAAGCGAACGGCGTCCTTCGAATTCGAATGGCCAGACGTTCCTCGATGTGCGGTTCTAGGCAGGTCCTCGATCACTCGACGACAGAATCGCCGAGATTGTGCGTGATCTTCGGACGAACGCGAATTCTCAAGACGAGCTGGAAGAAACCAGAGAAAGACGTTGGAGAAGACGTGAACTTGTTGCGAATTCTTGATGGAGGTCTCTTCCTTCATTCTTTCCCTCCTTCCTTCCTTTCTTCTTTCGACGCTTTCTCCGGGCTTGGTGCCAGGTTCGCGAAGCACCCTGACGCGTTTCTAATGGATCTCGGCTGCGAATCCGACGATCTCCGGCTGTTCTTTTTTTCATGATGACAACCTTCCATAAGGTCTCGGCCAACGCTGCAGTGCGCGACCGGAGATTAGGATCGTTCTCTCTCGCGCGGACTTGTAGATCGTAGCTTTGTACCTGCGCTTTGGATTTTTATGACCCGCCCGTTTCACATGTAACGTGTCCATCTCGTTTTATTTCCCGATCCGCCGTCCCATAGCGCTTCACGCCCGCCGCCGATGTCCTATTTCCATCTCACTGTCTCTCCCACGAGTCTGTCAAACGTGCCAAGACATTGTTTCCCGGCTTTTATTGCCCGGGAGGAGGACGTAGTCGCTTTGTACCGTACTTTGTCGTACAAACGGAATTCGTGAGAGAAGCACCGCCCCGTTCGCCACGACAACGACTCTTACTCGTGACTCCGAACTCTCCATAAATGATGAAACGCGAATTCGATCCGTCGAAATGTCCGACGACGGCGGCGGCGAGGCAGAAAAAGGGAAGTTGCGCGCGACGCGCAATATTCCAGTAAACACCAAGTAACAGTAACGTCAATGTTACAATTTTTCACTTTGCGATGTAAGAGTGTTATGACACGTGTCATATTGTGTGAAAAGAGAAGCTCGTTGCGATGACAGCAAGAAGCCGTGTGTGGTACACTAAGAAACACTTAAAAATTTATTTGTAAAAGATATAAAGTTTATTTCTGCGCGAAATAAAATTTACTTCTGCAAAGCAAAATTTCTTTTCGTGGAAGAAACGTTTAACTCACAGATAAATTTTTAAAGTATTCTTCCTCAGTGCGGTTAAGTCTCATAACATATATTAAGAGAAAAAAATACTTGTACATTTATTTGTGAGATGTAAAGTCTATATATTCTCGCGGAATATAAGAATTATTTTTGTGTGAATAAATCTACAGATATATACAGGAATGTACCTATAAGTGTAATTTCCAACAGACAGAATTATTTTGCTATGCGATGCCGATGTGGTGACAAAAGTTTTAGTTGTAGCGAAGCAAATTTCTTTCACCAACAAACACATTTTCAGCAAACCACGATTAGTTGCAGCGGTGAGGCTGCTTCTCTCATGTGCACTTACCTCATCGAGCGGGAAGTTACATGCATTGATGCGTAGTACGTTACTTTTACTTGGTGTTCAATGGAATTAAAACCACGATGCGGTGGGCCCGAGACTTTCGGCGGTGTTCGGCCCGATGACTGGAGAGAATTTCCGAGAAGCCACGGAAGATCAAGAGTAAGTCGCTTCCACCTGCAATAGGCAGTAGCGGTGCAACCAGACGCCGTGACGAAAAAATCAATCGACCGACCGACCAAGCGAGTGACCAGCCAAGCGATCGACCGATCGATCGTTCCTACCTGAACGTTGTCGCGCCCTCGTTCAAGGCTTCTACGATCAGACTCTCCGTTGTCCTCTCGAAACCTGCGCAGCTCTGTTCCTCCCTCCCTCCCTCCCTCTCTCTCTCTCTCTCTGTCTTTCTCTCTCTCTCCCCCTCCCTCTCTCTCTCAGTGAAACGCGCAAAAATCACTTATCGGCCATGACTTGATCCGCGGAGAAAAACCCGGCTCTGCTACGCAACGCGAGCCATTAGGAACGCATGAATAACCCGGGAACAGGAGCGAAAAGAAACGTCGCCGCGACGATCGTGATTACTCCGTGGAAACATGGGCGGATCACGATCCGAGCGGGCTCGCGCCACAGCAGGCGCGCGTACGCGTAACAGCGTCATTTCCAGGGGGAAAAAAAAGAACTCCGGAGCGACTTTAGAGACGCGCTTTTGAAAGCGGCCGTTTCGCAAGTATATTCACGCGAGTATAATTCGAGGGATTATTGGCCGAGCGAGATCACAAGCCGCGCGCGCGCGGTGGCGGAGATCACACCGAGCATCGAGTTCGACGACGGAGTCATATAATTTTCGCGAACACGTGTTTATGGCGCTGTCCCGACATAAGCCGTTCGTTAATGACATATTTCGTATTCTCCACGCGTCGCGTATTTCGCGCGCGCGCGCGCGAACTTCCCAAGTCACAGGTGTAAATTCGACGACTTCTCGGGGGAGGAGGAGGAGAAGCAACAGAAGGGGATACCTGTATTCCAAGATTATATGCCGTTCCGCCGCGACGTTATGACGCGCGATGAATGAATGAATGGGACTCGGCATGTGAGGAAATCGACGGACGCGCCGAGTGGAGCCGCCATAATCGCTCGTTACGGAATCGCTCGCGCAGAAATCCTCTTCCGCGGTCCCGCTGGATGCTATCGCGGGAACACGTCGATCGACGCGGATCGTCTCGGATGACCGGCGTCGCGTCGCGCCGCGTCCTCCGTCGTTTCGCGAACGACGGGGACCAGACGGATTTAGTGATCGCCATTCCGCCATTTCGCTCGCAAACTGAATCTAAACGTTCCGAGAACCGTGCCCCGGCAAGAAAAGAAATCATGAACGTAGGAATATCTATACGGAACATACTTCCGCGAAGTTGAAGCTTCAACGAAAAGGGAATTGTAACGGATCAGCCAAGATGACGGCGACATGGGATTATCTCCGTTCTAATTTTATCGTATGTTTGCGGTTTTTCCATTCTTACAGCCTTTCGTGTAACAATCAGGCATGTTATAGAAGAAAATGGATCATCTCTGTTCCAATTGTATCTTATGTTTGCGGTTCTTCCACTTTTGCAACCTTCCGCGTAACAATCAGGCCTATTGTAGAAGAAAATGGAACGCTTCGCTGCAGACATTACATTTGCCTAGAACACATAATTTCGAAATACAACAATGTCTTGGTTAAAATCATTACGCGACTGCACGCGACGTGAAAATGTATTTGAGCTACATGTATCTCGTGTGCTGTGTACATGCTAACTTTAACCAACTAAAACATGGACGGATATTTCTCCTGAAGTTTCACATCCTACGTTCGTAGGAGCACCTTGTACTCCGTCCAAATATTCCTACGTCCATGAGAGAGACGAGTGAGCTCGACCGTCGCCCCGGAGTGTAGACGCCTCTATAAATTGTACACCACTATCGACATTTTTCTCGTACGAGGCTACCGTAATACAGCGCGTCGGCTTAACGTTACTTTTCGCATCCGACACGCGGGTACACAGGGTGCCCCAGAATTCTCGGTCTTAAATCCTCCGTCTGCTTCCCCGTTTTTTTGTTAATGCGGTTTCCCTCGTGGTCGGCACTACTCTCTCTGTATAAGCAAAAAGAATCGGGGCAAACATTTTTCTCACTATTTTAGGTCTCTATTTTCTGGTTAAAGCGTTGCTTATCCCACAATGTTTATACTCTATTCTATTGTATTGATGTAGCAGCAAATTTGCTAAAAGTTGCACTCAGATTTTCATGTTACACTTAACGTATTGTTTTGAGCAAATTGTCATCATTTTCTTCGTATCTCTCTTGTATCTCTATTTTACCATTCTATGTGATGAATGTGATTGCAAGTTGATTGGAACTATAAGGAACTTAAAAAAAAACGCCGTTAAATCTTGTGATTTGATACACTTAAAGCTGCTGTAAAGCTTACGTGTGTCAGTTTATTGGGGGTGAATTGAAACTGTTCTCGAAAAAACGTACGAAGCGGATGGAGGGTTTAATCTTATGATCAGCGTGTAACGTCCGCTGCGTCCAGCAGAGAACAGCCAGAGCTTCGCCAAGAACTTCCGCCGAACACGAACATACTCAACAGTTTATTCTTTTACAACGTGTCAGCCAAAGACGATCATTATCCTTTCCAGCGTGAGCAAAGGTGCGCTTAATAAGCGCGACATGTTGCGAAGAGCGTGACCACGCTTGTGACCGCCAGAAACAGAAGCATTCGGCTGGAAGAACCTGCCAACTGTTGGAAACACGCCGACAAAGTGTCGATATAAAACACCGAGTTCTGAAGCGTGCACAATCATATGCGCTTTATTCTCATTTTTGTCTTCTCATCGTTGTCGTGATCGGCATTTTTGGCACGATTCTCTGGTGAAGCTAAGTCAAGATGCACACTTGAGGAATCATAAAGGACGAAATTTCTTTCTTCCTTTCGAAGAAAGTGAGAAAAACCATTTCCTTTCGAATGTTTATTCGCAACTGTCCCGAAGATTAATTGTTCCTCCAATGGTGAATCGAATAGCCGCCACGTTTGAGGTGTGTCATTTTTCCCGACCTTTTCTAACGTCGTTAACGAATAGCTAACCGAGTTAGCGTCATTCGAACGGTACAGCGCATAAACCTGGGGAAACTGGAGGACAAGAGAGAGAGAGAGAGAGAGAGAGAGAGAGAGAGGAAGAGAGGAAGAGAGGGAGAGCAGAGCAGAGCAGCTCCTTTGTCTGGTCGATCCCATTGTTCCGGGCGACGCGTAGAAAAAAGTTAAAGAAGCAACACGACGGCGGGGACGAATTTCTTCGACGGCAGCGACGGAGATGGCTACGTCGCTCGCCCGACAAATTCGTACAATTATTTCTCGATTAGGAAGAAGGAGAGCCGGTAGACGCGACGCCGTGAGATTAGATCGCCGTTGTGTTAACGGGACGAGCGTCGGCGACGAGCCAGTTTCGCGTGCTCCGTCGCCGCTGTCCGCGATACCGCGACGCTACTGCCTAATTGCGGAAGCACCGCGGACAATTCCGACATTAATAACATCTTTTTTCTCCTTCGGCGCGTCGTCAGGTAGAAGGAGGGAAGGAGGAAGAGGGGGAAAGAGGTGGCGTAGTTCATTATGCTCCAGGAATGCGGTCCTCCTTAAACAGCGCATTGTGGTGTACGTATAACTGTACGGGACACATGACGGCCCTACGTACTCCGAGAAGAAACACATTTATCTGTGGGACATGAAATTTATTTCGGTAAAATAAAGTTTATTTCTGTGAATAAACTTTGTGTCTCAAAAATAAATGTTGAAATATCTTCTTCTCAGTACACATTGACAAAGAAATACTCGAAAATTTATTCGTGAGATATAGAATTTAATTCTGTATGAAATAATGCTTGTTTCTATGAAATAAAGTTGATTTTTGTAAAGAAACTTTGTGTCTCGCAAATAAATTTTTAAATATTTCTTTTCCACGGTGCACCGTGAGAGAAGAAATATCTGAAGAATAAAACATATTTATTCAGGTACTACATATTTACTTAAGTCTATATTCATAAAAGTAACGGTGCCTTAAGAAAATATATATTTTCTCGTTTGAAGGAAAGTTTTTCTTAATGTAAAAGTATATATGTATACATGTTGGTGCAAGTAAATATTTCATCAGTATCCACCAAACAAAAATTTACTTTTTAGATATTTTTTTCTCTCAATATAACGCTAATAACGATGTAACGTGTTGGGAAAGGGAGGAGTGGATTTACTTATAGATCAAATAATTCAGGGAAGAAATATATATGCGCAGAATAACGACGGGATATGAGATAACAAGGACGAATCATCCGTTCGAATGGCTAATAAATGTACCAATCGATATTATCGCGACGAGCATTTACGGAAGAAAAAAACGACGGTTCAAAATGAACGTAATCTTGTATAACGCTAAATTAGGAGTTCTCCGACTGCAATAAATAATTATAGACTTCTGAGAAAGGGAGAGAAAGAGAGAGAAAGAAAGGGAAGAGCATCGCTCTCTTTAACCAGAGAGCGGCGCGCACCGCCCGAGAGGAAGTTCTGAGGGCAGGAAGGAGGAAGGGGTGACGGGAGGGAAGAGGCAATAAAAACTGATCGGGACGTATCTCGGTGGGACCGACCTTGCGGGCCACCAGTGTAGAGTCGAGAAAATAGAAAATCGTGGTGCTGCTAAATGCGGGCGGTGTGATGTCATGCGGAAATAGTCCGTCTGCTCGTCACCACACCACCGCCACCGTCGCCACCAAGATAGGGAGAGGACGATCTCGATCGATCACGAACGATTACCTCCTCGCCTCGGCCACGAAAGAAGGGACCGGTGACTTACGCGGGACGCGGGGCGTTGGAAACCGGTATGATTTCGACGGTCTCGATTTTCGACGACGGCGTGGAGTCACGGAGGAAGAATGCACCTGACACTAATGAGCACCGTGGAGATCTAATTTTTGAGGGAGCGTGGAAGCCGAGGGAAAACCTCCGCGGGCGAGATCACACGGAATCCCCGCACGCACTTTTCGCCCGGCGCGTAATTCGAATTCGCGTGAGCTGAGACAGTCGCGAACACATCGGCCAGTCTTACTTCGGCCGCATCGTCTTCTCGACACTTATATCGATCTCTCTCTCACGGACTCTATCACTATCCACCATTTACGAGCCCCTAATAACCATAACTCGTATCGCCTCGCGACGATTACAATTTTCCCTCGTGTCTGCCGCAATTATGGCAACTAATTTAATGCTTCCGGCGCGCCCGACGAATATAGGTATCGGCACGGATCGACGGAGATCGCTAATCTTTCTGTTATCGGAAATTGTAATTCAGTTGCGGCTAGAGCGAGCGAGCGAGCGATGGGAACGGCTTGGATGATTGGAATTTTGTGTCTTCTCATTATTCGCCGCGCCGATGCCGAGGCGGGATCCCTTCACACGGCCGGTCTCCTAATCCACCTGTTTCCGAAGCGATAAGGAAAGCCGCGTCTAATTTTTTTTTCTTTTTTGTACATGGCGGCTCGATGAAGTCAGCCGAAATCCACATTACAGGCGATAATGCTGTCGACAAGATCGTTCGGATAAGCCGGCACGTTGGAATAGCCGTGCTTTGTACAGTCAACTCTGTGTGACCACCGATAGATCGATAGTCGCTTAAAGTTTTTCGGCCAATTATATTTTAGTTATGCGTTTCTCATTACTGTTTATTAGCCTAACAAGAGCGGGAACGTACTCTTTGGATTAATTGGCACGCGTTAGAAATGAACGTGGCACAATCGATCGACCTGTCGAACTATCGATCTATCGAATCGAGTGGAACTGAGTGAGCACAGAAAACGCCCTTATAGAAATATCATACTAAGAATCATTGATAATTACTTATTATCCAGTAGTTTTAATACTGAAAATAAGTAATTATCAATGATTCTTAGTATGATATTTCTATAAGGACGGCATCGATCGTGCGGCCATTTTTTATCTTTTCGTGTCGAACAGCCGCCATTAGCGCATAGATCGATATTGCTCCGCGTTTTACACGCCTTTCGTCTGTCGAGAATGAGTCTTGTGTGGAAAGCAGTGTCGAGAATGTCGAAAATAACGATGTGCGAATGTCGACAAATATCGTAAGTAAACTATTAGAAAGCAATCTCTTCTTTTCTCGACATACGTCGCCGGTGCCTGTCGCGACATGTCGAATCAGAGTCTCTCTCACATCTTTTTATTATCATTATTAATATTCTTATTGTTACGTTATTGCTTCAATCAATTACGATCGTACTAATCGAGAATCAAAAATGCGGTAACAATCAAAAGGTAAGAGAAACATAAAATGACGCGAGGGAAATAACGCGACGCCGAATCTCGGACAGTAACATAGCTCTGTCAACGAGAGAGAGAGAGAGAGAGAGAGAGAGAGAGAGAGAGAGAGAGAGAAAGAGAGAGAAAGAGAGGGGTGTACAGAAAGCGTTATTGTAGAGGCGCATAAAATCTTCATTTTCGCGAAACTAAACTGCTAACCTCGACCGTTGCATAATGCTCGATAACGCGTAGCTACTGCTCCGCTGTCATCGCGGAGATGCATTTTGACAGCCGCAGTTGGTAGGGGGAATTAAATGTTATGAGAAAGCACGTGTAATATTAATATCAGATACTAAAGAACGTCGCGTAAACGAGTAGATAACACTATGGCTGTCTCAGGCGTGGCGCGATGCGGCAAGGTCGCGCGCCCTTGAAAACACGCACACACGCGCGCAGTCATTACGCACGCAACGCGGCAATGAGCTGAACGGGGGACGACGCAGCGCGTAATTTTTCTCGAATTTTCGGCCTCGATCGCGTAATCGTACGCGCGTCGTGCACGACGTTTCTCGATGTGCAGCCGATGCTTGTCACGACGCATCGAGTCTCTCAAGGCCGTCACACACAAAATTCCGTAAGAACTTAAAACGTAAGCGTAAAGAAATCGACCAATCCCAATCGAGTATTCGGCTCTTCGTAATAATGGAGGGGTTACGAAGAGCCGAGTGCTCGATTGGGATTGGTCGATTTCTTTACGCTTACGTTTTAAGTTCTTACGGAATTTTGTGTGTGATGGCCTTTACACTTGTTACCGCCTCGGGTCTGTTCGAAGAATCTCTGCACTAGTTCGCAAATCCTTTGCGAAAGAACGAACAGAAATAGAATCGTCGAATTTATTAATCAGGTGTTATGGGCAATCTACAATAAGTTATTAATCATAAATCATAGACAAGTTGACCAATCACAATCGATTATTTTTTTAAATAATTGATTGTGATTAGTCAATTTTCTTGCGGCTTATGACTAGTGGCTTATTGTAGAAGGCCCATTAGAAATGCGGTTATAATCGGAGGAATAGATGGGTGATACGACGCCAGAGATATACGCAATGCCGAATTTTGGAGATAGCAAGAGGTCGGTCTGTTTGCGAGAAAGAGAGAGAAAGGATGTGCACTCAGTCGTAAAACAGTCTTTCTTTTTTCGCAGTGCTCAAGGTTGTCATAATTGCGAGTCACTATTGACCAATTTACGCAGCGATTGGCTGTATCTTTCGTTATTGGGATAATCACTTGCACAAAAACAGTGACTCACAATTGTGGCAACTTAAAGTACGACTTTATTAGAAAAAAATGTGAAAACCATTTTGTCTTACTGAATATACAATCAGAGGTTAAAAGGTTGTCCATAATTTTAGGAGTGAGTTTGTGAGTTTGTGAACTCACCCTTCTTGTTTTTCCAACGAGAGCATTTTCCAATTGGAAAATGAATTCTCCAATTGAATAAGATGAAGAGCTCACAAATTCACTCTAAAAAAAAAATTACGGACAACCTTTTAGTCCCTGAATGTACACACGGCGATGTCCGAATATTTATTGGATCACCAATTATACGATATTGAGCCTACATTACGCTCGAGATTGAAAATCACACAAGTAGCTCTCCTTATGACAGAGTTGTAATGGCTTTAATTGTAGTGATTCGTACACGTATAAGGCCGAAAGTTGTGCAACTGTCGACTTAAGGAATATTCGGGCATTCATTATGCCGTGTGTATGTACAGAGCGCGTCGTAGAAGTGCGACAACGTTCACTATCTTGGCGCCAATTCACGGCATATGACATCAATTGCACGGCCGTCTTATACTTCGATCTTTCAGAGTCGAGCAACCGTCATGAACGCATCGATCTACATCGCTCTGTGGCTTTTACGCGCTTTTTGCCCGTCGAAAGTGAGTCTCGCGCGGAAGTCAGCATTGAGAATGTCGCAAGCAGCGATCTGCGGTCGCCGGGACGTATCGTAAGTACGTTATTAAGCAGTAATCTCCTTGTCTCACCATACACAACCAGCGCTCGTCGCGTCGGCGGCGCCTTTTACACTTGTTATTACCTTCGACTCGCTCGAGTAGTAACGAAATTGGACAATCGTCGTATCGCGTTCGTAATCGGAGGAACAGACGGACAACATGACGCCGAATCTCGGGAGGAAGCGTCGCTCTGTCAGCAAGAAGTGTACACTCGGCTCCGAGATTCGTTAGAAATGCAACTGACGCGATTTATCGTGGGAAAAAGTCTCTTCGCCGCTCAATCCGGATGCAGAGTTTGATTTCATAAGCGGGCAATTAGAATACCACATTCGTGTAACGGTCATGAGTTCCTCGGATCTCCCGGCCTCATCTCCTCCTCGCGACCTAAATCTCCTGATCTTCCTAGGTTAAGGTTATTCCGATAATCCGTGAAAAAAAGGAAACATGTCGCAAAGCGGGAACTTCCCAATACTCGTGGACTCGTCCATTCCAAAATTTGAAACGCTCGCATAAGAAACTAAAGTCGCGATACACACGCTGACCATCGCGACGCGAAGTAGTTTACTATTGCATGAAATACTAACGAAAGCTCAAGCCGCGATACGGTGCGTCGCCCCCTCGCGTTAACCTCTCTCTCTCTCTCTCTCTCCCGCCGACCAGCAGAGACGCGGGCCACCCTCGCGTCTCGATCTCGCCGAGACTGTGCGCTGCATAGCGGGGGTGTCGATCTCGCAAAACTCGAGCAGATTTCCAGCGACAGTGCCGGCGGCGAAAGTCGACGGCGACCGGCGCGCGTGGATATATTCGTGCCTGGGACATTCCGGGTGAGTACGACGAGAACGACCGATGTCACGCCGCCGGCCGGCATCGGTGCGCATGTGCGCGGGTTACACTTGACGAGCTCAAAAAATCAATGACCCCCTCGCGCCCGCTACCGCCGCATCTCACTCCCTCTCTCTTTCTCTCTCTCGCGATCTCTTCGCTCTGGAATTTTCCTCTCTCTTTCTTTCTTCTTGTCTCTCTTTCGTCGGCTGTCGTCGTCCGGCGATACGAAACCGATTCACGGAGATCGGCATCGTGACGCTCCGCCCGAACGGATTGCGCGACGACGATAACGACGAGACGACGACGACACATCATCGCCGAACCGGCGGTACGCACTCACGCACCAGGCACGCGAGCGAGCGAACGAGAGAAAGAAAGAGAGAGAGAGAGAGAGAGAGAGAGGCAGAACGAGTGCGCAGGGTCGTCGCGCGCAAGAACAGTGAGAGGAGAAGAGAAAATGGCCGGCTGCGCGAAGGGTGCAGTCCGTTGGCGGCGCTAGTGTAAGACGGCCGAATAGCGGTACGGTGGAAACCAGCCGGGCAAGCTCCACTGCTCCGGCATCGCCGCTCAGTTCGTGTCCTCTCGTTGCGCACGACGGTTGTTAGCGGTCGCGGTGGCGTCGCCCTTCTTACGTTCGTTCGCGTATCGCGGCGTTCGAGGCTGAAAACAGAAGGCAGAAAACAAACACAAGAGACAGGACAGAGAGAGGGAAGATTATTGAATCAAACAGTCCGATTGAGTCAGTGCGGAAGGTCACGGGAGAGCTCGGTAAACAAACATCGGGACAGAGTCGTAAGTACTACGCGTGTGTGTGTCGGGACGAACATAGTCTCTTTTGCTTTTCCGCGAGGTAAGACGTACGAGAGAAAGATCCGCTCCGAAAGTGTCTCGTGTGCGCGAATGTCGCGCGGCGTGCCGGTAGCGTCGCGCCGCGTCGCGCTGGAGCAGTGTGAATACAGTTGAGTGTCGGTTGAGGGGCAGTGCAACACGTTCGAACGTGTCGCGGATTCGACTCGCCGCGGTGCCACGACCCTCCTCGCGAATTCTCTCGCCGTTCCTACACGGCGTGTTGTCGGTGCATACGCGCAGACGGACTCGCGTCAAGGCACAAGCGGTCGAGGGAGTGGGATAAAGAGAGAAGGCAGAGACAGCGCGCGCGAGAGAGAGAGAGGCAACGCGTACGTACAACTCTCTCTCTCTCCCGGTCGCGTCGCCGCGCCGTCGGTGCACCGTCCGTCCACCTTTCGCGTTGCCGCGAGTGCATGGGATAAAATGGCGCTTGCTTTCGTCCGTGCACCTCTATCGACCGTGACGAACTGTTCGACGGAATCGCGCCGGCATCGCTCGCCGCGACCTTTCTGAGGGATCAACCAACGTACGTCTCGCTGCGTGACCGTCGTCGTGTCACGTCTCGTCTCCCTCGCGTCCCCGTCGTTACCGCCGTTCGTCGTCGTCGTCGTCGACGGCGTCCTCGTCGTCGCCGCGAGTACCGTGTGCGGAATACCGTGTGTGTGCAAAGTGCATCGCCAGAGGAGCGTTGGCAGGAGAGGAGAGGTATCTCGAGTGCGACGATTTTGGAGCGACGAATTCGGAGCGACGTGTTTCCGTGCGGAGCGGAGCGCATCCTCTCGCTGTGGACTTAGGTGAGTCCAAAGTTCTTGGCACTTTGAAACATTTCCCGTGCGGAGCTGCGACGACTGACTTCGCTGCTCTCGCGCGAATCTCTCGCGAGATTTCATGTTACGCGCCATTTTCTCCGACGTACGCGGACGATGTGCACACGCATCGCGATGCAATACCATGGATCACGCTCCTTTTACTGAGAACGGTGATAAATTAACAGATATAAACTATCAATGATACCGCGAAGGTGCATCTCGGTGTTATTATTGTTACTTTTGACTCTATCGATCGGTCGATCGCGCGCGCGCACGAGAGAGAGAAAGAGAGAGATAACTCGAGAATATTTTCAAGCACAGGAATGTCGACTGAGCGAGCTCGATTCACGCGCGTTACCCGTTACACACGTACCACAATGTGTGCGGATGCACCGTGAGAGGAATCGCGAGACACCCCTGCGATATTCCACGGCGCGACTCGCGTAACGGCGCGAGGTATTAACGATCAGTATCCCGGTGAAAGGCATTAATTCGCCTCTCGTTCGCGTTCGACCGCCCTGTAGATTCCGTTCTAGCTAGCGCCTTTCCTCGCGCCTCGTCGCGCCGCGTTCGGAATTAAGAAGGTCGTAGAACAGTTGGAGGGCACCCTGCACTCTGTCCGAGTGGACAAGTGAACGCGTTTACAATGAACTTCTCGGGGATCTCCCGAGAAATTATCCCCATGATTACTCGGTCTCATTTTCCATGGACATTCCTTAGTTTGGCAACATGTGGCGTTAAATCTACACTGGGGGAAAAAACGATTGTTCTCGTCGAAAATTATAATTATTTACGAGCCAATTACACATCTTCTTGTTGTTTTAACAGAGAAATAACAGCAGTAATGTGCGTGTAAGATTATTATCACTAATAGTGTATAAAGCAATATTTACACACAGAAAAATACATATTGCACTCAAATACATGTTACTTGTTTCCGGAATTTCACAAGTTTTTATACACTCGCAAATTTATCATAAAATCATCAAATTTCTATTAAAAAATTCAATATTTCAATGAGGGGTATTAAATGAAAGGAAAAATTCGGTTTATTCACTACACAGAATCGAAATAACTCTTCGATAGACTTACAGTAATCTTGTAGAGAGAACAAATTTTTCTCTTAAGTATATGATAATGGAGCTTTTCTCAAATGTATAAGTATATTTTAAGATTATATATTATCAAGAACATATTTTCTTCTGAAGATAATTATTAATTAAGAAAAGAAAAATAAATGACTATAATCGCTCTTCTTATCAGTGAAAAGGTATTTTTCTATGTGTACTATATCCAAAAATATTATTTTCCCAGTTATAATTTTTATCTCTGTAATTACAGTCATGAATACCAAAAATACATTTCCTCATTGCACCGAGTATCATAATGCACACGATTCCGAGAACAATTTTTATAAAATCTTTCCAAAAAGTCTTGTTTGATAAAAATCTGTTTCTATTGTCTACTGATACAGAAACTTTTTGTTTTGCATGAATACAAGCGCGAAGAAAAGTACATGATTACAGAAGCGAAAGACAATATATACACGATATCTCCCGTTCTCAACGAGAATATTGCGCACATCCGTATCACGTATCGCGCACGTTACCATTCCATAGTTACCGGGAAGTAGTACAAACGAACGTGAAAAGCCGACGTTTTGCTGCGCTGAGCTTTCTGCAAAAGTGCTGAACCGGGGCGAAACGTTGGGAAACCCGCGATCGTGTGTGAAGAAATTTTCGTGTGACGAGGGTCGCGGCCACCACGCGCGCACGTGTGTGCATGCATGCACACGCGATATACACGGCCGCCGCCGGTGTCCGCCGCCGCGTCCGTGTACATAGGTAAAACGCGTGTGTGCACAGGCGAGCGCGCGACTCTGTGCACGCGCGCTTTCGCACGCGCCGAAACGTGCCGAAGAACGACGCGCCTTCTCGCATAGCGCGGCGCACAAATACGCGCGGCGTGTACCACACGGAAAATGACAGGCTGTCGTGGTGCCGGCGTGTTTGAGCTCGACTCTGCGCGCAAATATTTTGCGCCGGCAAACACTCGCCCGCGACGGATCGTATCGTAACCCTTCTCTCTCTCCCTCTCTCTCTCTCTCTCTCTCTCTCTCGCTTGTGCCGAGAGGATTTTCTTCCTCGTCTCGTTGCGTAATCTGTCAAACGTCAAAACGGTTCCGTATCGCGCGTTGCGTGAGGAGGGGGGGGGGAGTGGCTCAGAGCTTGGCATCTCTCGTAGTTTTTGCGTACGCGACCGAGTGAATCTCCCGTTTTTTGCAACCTCGCCGGCCAAAAGAGCATCATCGGCAATTTACTCGTGGGTCGTTACGTCTCCCGTTGACATCTTCGGCGACCTTTTCATTGTATCGACGGTATGTTTTGCCTTGTTGCTCCGCTCATCGTGCGTAACGGTAACGGCATTCGAATTATAATCTGACTAGAAAGAACGCGCAACGTGTGTGACTCGATGCTCACCGCGATTGGCTCCGCTATGTGCAACAAGTCGACTCGTTTATTTACAATTTACGCAGCTTACTTAGTTACACTGTTATCCACCGACACAGATCACTTATTTCCGTTTAATTTCCAATGTAGAGAAAGTGACGAGTCCGATGGATCGGAATATTGATGAACGGTTTAAGGTGAAAGTACCAATGCCTCGACATGTATCTAATTCTGAACATTCTTATCGTTTCCGTTTTTAAATATGGCTATACATAAACTTCCAGAAGACAGAATATATGTATATATTCAGTACATGTATGCATATTCTATATTGAAAGTTTCAATATTCGTGTTTAAAGACTAAAATAAGCATGTCCAGAGTTAGGCATGTCCAGGTACTTTTTTCTCACGTAGAAATAAATTGGCCGTAGTTATGCAAGAATCTAACCCATATAAGGAGTAAGATTTCGAGAAAGATGAAGATGAAAATTTGATATATGATTTAAAAAGTTTAGATAGCACTGACAAGTTGACTCTTACAAAACGGGTGAAAAAGACGCGACTGGTAGGAAACCAAAACAGTTTCTTAATTAATTTTCGACGCCCCGGAGGCTTGTTGGATATTTTTTGCTTTATGGAGAAAGGCGTGTGCACTAGCCATTGGTAACAAAAACTTGAAAACTATAATTTTGTGGGTTGGTTGTCATTGTTGCGCAACTATAACCAACTTTGTCAGTGCGTGAACAGCACGCATCGACTGCGAACTGTCGGTGGTCATCCCGGGTCCCAGTATATCCGCCTGATGAATGCGCAAGGGAAACGGTCGTGTGGGGGGCGTTCATAAGAATGGCCATGAGAAAGAGAGAGAGAGAGAGAGAGAGAGAGAGAGAGAGAGAGAGAGAGAGAGAGAGAGAAAGAGAGAGAGAGAGAGATCGGTCGGTGGTAAATGAATTTTCGTAACGCCGCGATCCCGTCACGAGGGTATGCCGGCGAGCAAATGAGCGATCGTTATCTTATACGATAGTGGTGGACGTTTAGGTAGGAGGAGGTGTGGTGATCCTACGTGAGCCATTGAGCAAAAAGGGCCACAACCCTCCGCTTTTCTACCTGTTGGCCTAGGCAGGTCTACGCGCCCGAGGGCCCACGTACGGGATTCGCCCGGGGAGTTTGCGCTGCGTGTTCTCAAACACGCTCGAATCACGTTCTCAAACGTGACCGCGAATCGCGGGGAGAGACGCGCTCTTTCCGGCACTGTGATCGCGCTGCACACGTGTGCGCGGGCTACGAGTTGGCCGGTTGTGTTGGCTCGCGAAATGTACTTCAGTGTGATATTTGCGCACACGAGACCTCTCTCGCGTGTACGTGTTTCTCGTCTCGCTCCCCCTTCTCCTCTCCCTCCGCCACCACGTTCCGCAAAATGCAACGCCGGCGACGTCCCCGACGTCAAAGCAGCCGTCTGCGGGCCTTGACGAATTTACACTAATCCCGGACAAGGATGATTCGCAACTTTGCTCCCGTGAGAACCGAAAACTCGCGATTTTTGCATATCGAAATACGAGAGCGAGACTCGTTATTCACGTTATTCGAACCTTACGCTTTTTATTCTTCGTGTATTTTGACGAAACGGATAATTTCCTATCTCCTTTTGTTTTGTTTGTTCCGAGGCGTACCGTGAAATTCCTGTTTAATAGGGGGAAAACACGCGTAACAATGGAACACGCGTAATTGTTTGACGCGCTCGTTGGCTTCGTTGCGCGATATCATTCGAGCGCCGAAGGGCTCCGAACGTGGCGGAAGCGCGCTCGCGGCGCAAAATAACGACAACTTAGTTTATTAACCATTAAGCCGTCTATTAGCTATCATACCTCACGCAACATTCAGCGGCTGTCGCGCGTTGGCAATATCACGCTCGCGCGTTCGTAAAACACGACAGTTTCAAAACAGTTTGCGCTTCGTTCGGGCCGCGTGTTGTAGTAGCGGTGGCAACGGCGGCGGCCTCGTTTCGCGATATAATCGATTTGGTAACGATCGAGTCGCCCCACGATTCACGAGTACACAGCCGCGCGCGAATCGCAAAAAGCAAGGTTGATAAAACCGCTTGAACGCTGTCACGTTCCGCACAAGCAAACTCGCCTGATCTGTATTGCGAGTATCGCAGAACGACACAGGACTTTTAAGCTTGATCTACAATGTGTTATTTGCTTCTTGTTTTTTTTTTCTTTATCTCTTTCTGACTCACACCTTAAGCCTTAAACTAAAAAAAAGACAGAGAACAAGGAACAGAAAGCAAAGAGCACCTTGTAGATTAGGCTTTATGCTCACCTTAATCTGTATCATGTTTCCACGAGAGCTTCGGAGGTTGTTTTGAGACACTCTGTATATCGTGCGCGCTTAATATTTTAATCGCCGCGAATGTTTCGTTGTTCGATTGTAAAAAATCGCCCTGTAATTCACTTCGTTCAATCTTTATCGTTGAAATCCTCGGTCTTATCACTGTGATGATAAATCGTAGTGTGATCGAGCCGAACGAGCCAA